TAATAGATGAGCAACTAGGTCCTACCATTTTATTGTTGATATACATAATCGCAACAGCCAATTTCTACTTCAACAGTTTCATTTCTGTGGAAATATATTCCAGTGAACTGCTCCCTGAAAACTATATCTGTTCAAAAATTTAAATATAATATCAATCGCCATGTTCTGTTCATCTTTCATCTGTTAATCAACATCTGATGTCGTTCATCTTTTGTCCTTTCCTCAATGCTTCATATTTGCAGAGATTAAAAAAAAAGCAGAAGAAAGCACAGCTCAGGATCCAAGGACATAGCCTTGTGGGAACATCTGAATCAGTACAAAAGTTTATACAAAACGCCCATTAAAGACACACATGCACACACGCACACGTATATATATATATATATATATATATATATATATATATATATATATATATATATATATATACCAAGGAAAACATAAAGCATAATCGAAAACACAATTATAAATTATACTTTTTTCGACAGGTAAGTTTTTAATAGCGTTCATCAGACCGAAATTAAAATGTTTCTCATTTGTAATTTCGACGATGCGTTAAATTTTTCCTTCATGTATATTATATTGTTCAGTTTACTATATATAGAGTTCTCTTTATGGATCTATGTTTGAATATTTTATATTTAAAATACCTACTTATATATATATATATATATATATATATATATATATATATATATATATATATATATATATATATGGCGTGTAATCTGTGGAGTTATGCTTTTAAGATTGATATTTTTTGAATCGAGACTTTTATCATACAGTCTCAGTTACGGTGGACTGGTCATGTCTTGAGAATGTCTGATGACAGGATACCCAAGATCCTAATGTACAGCCAGTTAGATCAGGGCTACAGGAATGTAGGACGCCCATGGCTAAGATAAATGACAAGCTGAAAAGCAACTTGTCAGCAATCAACATACCACATAACACCCTTGAGCGCTTAGCTTTGGAGCGGGTAGAATAGAGATCAACGTGTTTTAGTGGACTCAGCAATTTTCAATCTGCTTGTCTGAACCATCTTCAAGAAACGAGAGCAAGATCTAAAAGGTCAGCTAATCTAACAGTGAACCCATCTCAAAATACTCACACATGTGGCCTCCTTTGTAAATCACTAGCGAGTCTTAAATGCCACTTAAGATTATCGCACAAACTTTCATAACTGAATCAATAAGCTATATTATATTTAGTCGATTTTGGCTTTGAACTTTCAGCTGATTTTATATTTAAGCTTTCAGATTATTTTAATCTTTTCGTCACAATGAAATTTAATTAATAATATAGGAATAAGACACGTGATTTTGCAAACTGGTACAGCCGGAAATAACTGAACTTTTTCCTTGACTTTGCCACGAGCAAACCATAAACTTACAGATCGAATGTTAAGTTCCAATGTTTTTGCGTAGGCTACGCTTTTAATAAATCTCAGTATTGGTTTTTACTTCTATTTTTCTTTTCACATCATTTGAGCGTTTTCATTCAATTCAGTGTTGTTTGTGCTTTATACTCCTGAAGCAAAAGAAAAATTGAAAAATCTGATGATAACAGACGTAAATCAGGATCAAAAATTGAAGTGTCAAGCTGTTATTGAATTTTCAAGTTAGGAAGAGATTACGCTGTAAGTAATCTCTGATCGCGTGTAAAACGCAGCAAAACGGATACCGTTCTCTACCATGATCAAAAGTTGGATTGCTAAGTGTCATTGTGAATGAAGATCCCTTGAAGACAAGCACCGGTTTATGTGACTTGCGGAACAACAATTTTATTTTTTGACAAATAAATGTATTTATCCAAAACTAAATTTGAAATAAATCGGAAACTATTTCTTCTGCTATATATAGCCTTGTAATGGGTGAATACTAGTAAAAATTATTATACAGCATGTAATTTTTTTTAGTTTATTTTTGCCAACCTCATATGGCAGCTAATAACGAACATTCACAGATATATCTTGAGTGTAATGTATGCGTAATGGCCTAAAATAAAATAATATTCAAGAGAAACAAAATGGAGGCAATTTTACGATGACCGCCAAATCAATCAGAACTGGTTCTGATACCAGCGTAACTAATATTTGAATGCAATATGAAGACTTCACTTCGTCTCATTTTTTAACACCGTGGTGTTGGGCTGAGAGGTGAACATTTGAAGGCGGACAAGATATAACATTTGAAAGCCATATTTGTGAAAGAAGTATAAATGTTTGTGGAAAAACGAGATTGTTTATTTTCTTCAAATTTTTAAAAGCGTCGTCCAAGAAACATTATTATTACAAAATCAAGTCTTCTTTCCCCTTTAACATTTGCTCTTTCTCTTGTTTTTATTACATTCTGTTTTATATAATTTGTTCATTCATTACTTTTTTTCTTGCTCACTATCTTATTTCCTTTATTCATTTGGCAGTATTTAATAAGAGTACTAGCAATTCAAGAGACAGAAACGGTGTATAAATTCACGTTTATTTCTCATGACTCAACTATTACTCCTTGGGCAATTCTTATTGTTTTAAAAAGTTATTTTTAGAATTATAATGCAGCCCAACACATCTGAGACAGGATTGATAAATTTTTCTCTAATATTAATGATTGTACGTGGCGAGAAGAAATGAAAAAAAAAATGACCCGGAAAAGGTATTTTTAAAAATTTATAATTTATTTACTCTACACTATATATTTATTTAATTTTTCTTGTCCTGTTATCCACAGATGACTTTTTAAATATATGAATAAAAATATGTTTTCAGAGTAATTTCTTTATTATAATAGGAAGGAAAAAGTTAAGAAAAGAGAAAGAAAATGAGAATAGATAAATTAAAAAAAATATTGTATTGTAGTTTTCTCTCTTATTTTGATAATATTGTAAATATAAAATTATTGTAAATGAACGATTTAATAATGTAGAATTTAAAATATTGTTTTTGGTGTAATCTCCAAAAATATGAAGATGCATAAAGCCATATTAATCTCTGTCTATATCTCTGTGTTGAGGTATTATGATTACTTAGATTATTTACATTATCCTCATCTTCCTTGCAATATTAACAACGTTTCCGCCGTTGTACGCTTCGGCCTTCTTCAGATGAATATGAATTTCGAACTGAACACTTTATTTAAAGGCAATTAACTGAGACATCCGAAAGAGGCCTGGCACGTTGAACTTGAACAATCTACCCCTGTGGACGAAATAAAGGGTTCGGTTCGAAATTCCAAGCACCTGAAGAAGACCGGAGCGTACAACGGCCAAAACCTTGTGAATATAGAAATGAAGATGAAGATCACAATCCGAGTAATGTAAATAATGATTTTAATCTATTGGTATCTGTTTATATATTATGGACACTATTTACATTATTCGGACTATTGTCCTCATCTTTGTCACCACATTTATTACAACATTTCGGCCGTTGTACGCTCCGGCCTTCTTCAGGTGGTTGGAATGTCGAACTGAACCCATTTTTTCGCTCATTGGGGTTGACTGTTCTAGTTCCACGTGCCATGTTTAATGGATGTCAGTTATCAGTTATCTCCTGTTAATTCCCCTCTCCAAGTTTTCCACTGCCTTAACCGGGTATTGAACTCACACTCTTTGTGTCCTGTCATTCCAACCATCTGAAGAAGGCCGGAGCGTACAACGGCTGAAACGTTGTAATAAATATTGCAACAAAGATGAGGACAATAGTCGAATAATGGTGTTACAAAGAATTTTGTCGGTTTCTCGATGGAAAAATAAATAGAAATATTACGTCGCCATTACTCGTGATCATTCCACACACCGTGATGTCGACTGGATATATCAACCAGCTCTTTCCTCTGCACTCTCTTCAGGTCCTGTCATTCCAACCATCTAAAGAAGGCCGGAGCGTACAACGACTGAAACATTGTAATAAATATTGCAACAAAGATGAGGACAATAGTCGAATAATGGAAATAGTGTAATCTATTGGTGTTTTACTAAAATTTAAATATAGCTTTTTAAATCCATGAAAAATGACGAGGTGGGATACATTAATTTTTCAAGTGTAAATCCCTCCATTTAAGACACCGTTTAATTTATTTTCGTCATACATTTTTACTAGGTGTTTGTAACTTATTGGCTTCACTTCCTCTTTTGTTCATATTTCTCTTTCTTACTTGCAAGTTTCTTTCACTCGTGGTTCGTTTTGGTCTTCCACAATGTGCTTGTCAATCTCTCTGCCTCCGTGCAGAGAGGGACCCAGACGAGGCTATGCCGAAGGGCAGAGTCTCGTCTGGGGAATTTTTGACCGGGCCTACAGGCTCGGATACCCAACAATAAACTCGGCCTTGTGCCACATCCGACCACTTGGGGCGGTTAGTGAATATTTCACTCATTGTTCGCTTCTTTATTCTTTCATTCATGCTTTCTTTCTTGCCGCGATATATATTGTTAATAGGAATATTTAATTGATGAGTTTCACAATGTTCACACCGGTTCTTAAACGCAGGATGAATAAGGATCTGCAATAAATAACATGAAAGCCTCTAATTTCCAAAGCAGAATAATGGATTCTTATCAATAGCGATCACTATATTATATTTAAATATGAACCTTGATATTTATGCACAAGTGTTATTCTATAATCGATCGTTTCTCAAACTTCAGTGAATTACCTAGAAAACTGCATATTAACTGCGACTAAGTTTTCTAATTCTTTGAACTTACCGTCTCTATCGATCCCGATAACATCCATTAAAATTTTGGTTGGTGTAGGGTATGGGAAAATGGAAGCAAAAGTCTGGCGTGATATGTAACACTTAGAAATGGTTCTATTGGCAGTCGTGTGAAATATTCGATAACGTGTTCCATCCTTTGGCCACTGACAATTGTTCAAAGCTGCATCCGGTGTCTGCGGAGGAATATGTTGGAGAGATATATGCTTAGATATCTGTCTCGTCTGCTTTGACGGCCATTATGATTGCGAGGGAATCAGCATTTATGGTTTATTAATGACCAAGGGTTTAATGCTGTGCTTTCTGTTTTTTCCTTCTGTCGTTATTTTATATATTTCTCTGTTCATTATTTCTCCTCACCTACGCCATTTTCTACTTCCTTCCTCTATCATTAGCTTCTACATCCATTTCCTATTATTTTCATCTCTCATTCCTTCATTCATTTACTCATTCCTTTCTTTTTTTTCTTTCTTTAACTCTTTTTTCATTCATTTATTTATTCTCATTTTTCTTTCTGTTTTCTTACCTTTTTATTTCATTACTTTTTCTTTTTTCCTTTTCCTGTTTTTTCCTTCACATTTGAGATTCTCTGATTTCTTTGTTCTTTCTATCTTTTCGTCTTTACTTCTTTCTGCTTTCTTTCTTTGTTTTTTTTTAAATCTTCGTTTCTTTCTTTATTGCACTTTCTATCTCTTCTTTGATCTACATGCTTTCTTTTCATTTTTTTTATTTCTCTTTATTTTGTTATATTTTTTTCTTTTTTCTGTTTCATTTTTTATTTTCTCACTTTTCTTTCTCTTTTTGCTATCATCATTTATGCCCTCCCTCTTTCTCTTCTTTATATTTTCGCTCAATATATATAGTTTTGTAAATCATTTGTTTACGCCTTTTGTCCTCACTCGTTTCATTCTTTATTTCTTTTTTTATCTTACATATTAGCAATCTGTACTCATTATTTCACCTTTCCTTAATTATCTTTCTTCACGTGGCTTGTGTATTTTTAACATAGCGTTTCCATTCAGTACCTCTCGTAGAAATCCCTTAGTACTGAATACGATCATTACACAAATAATTTTCAGTGGAAATTAAGTATTAGAATGGTCTTTAAATTTCAGTGACTGGAGTTCTTTTTTACCAGGTTTTGCGGATTTTTTATCCAGATTATGTCGGCTAGATATGCCCCCTATCTTGACTTTTATTCTTTCATGTAATTTTTTTTGTTTCTTTTTTCTTGTTATATAATCTTTTCCAACTTTCTTTAATATTTGCCTTGCCTTCTTCTCAGCCATTCCTTTTCCAATTTTCTGTTATTTAAACAAAAACAAATCTGAGACTTTTCATCAGTTTCACCATCTCCGCTTTTCCTACCATTCCCAGAACTTTTCCAAATAATTTTCTGTTTTTTGTATTTGTTCTTGAACCTATGGCTAGATATGTATTGCGTTGAGTTTAATGTAGGATATAAATTTGAATGAATCGATTGAATATGTTTTTGTACGACAAGCTGACATAAGAATAGGGCAAAGCGCTGTCTCTGATAGCTGATGGGTTATTTTCTAATGTGTTATTTCTGTTTCAACATGGCTACTCTATCTTAAGTCCATGGAAACTGTTCAGATGGTCCGAATTCTTTGCCTCAAGTATCCTCAGGCCCTTCCCGTTCCAAATGTAAGATGAATATTCCACTCAAACAGGACAGCTCTTCTTCCGAGAACTGCGTGGGTGATAGCATTGAACACTTCCATTTTGATCTCTACAAGTCAAGAGTTAATCGTCATTGCCTTATCCTCGTAATCATTATTTCTTACCACAAACTTCTCCATTCATTACAATTGTCACATTCACTTTACTGTCAGATCACGTTGAAACACCAGTTCCAGGACGATTATCAAAGTTAAGCAACGTCGACCTGATGAGTACTTAGATGGGTGAGCGCTAGGTTATACTGGGTGCTGTAAGCTTAGATGTGTGGGTGGTGGAATGGATAATGGCTAGAAATTTTAACAGGAGAGTCGAGTTCCAATTTCTGTTGTTTGTTTATATTTTTCTCTCCCTAGCTATGGGTTAATTAGTAAGAAATATATTACTAAACCCTTATTATCATCTCCAAAATATTGTTACAATCTAAAATTATTTTCTGACTTTAAATGAACTGGAAAGTGTTGATAAGCCGTATAAAACGAATCAATAAAAAAAAAAACGCATTAATGTTTTTTTTTTTTTTTTTTTTAGTTTAACCCTTTAACTTGGGTGGTTCTCAACCCTTGGGTGAAAATTAATATAACAAATTCATTTCAACCTGAATTGATTTGATACTGATTTATTTCTTTTTACCTTTTAATTGCTTGTTTTGGAGTTTTCTGAAGCATGTCTAGCCTGTATCTTATTGGGTACAAAATCCATTATGAATAAACACACCCCTGAAATGATTCAGTATGTACGTTTTTCTTATTGTTCTTTAATTGCATCCTTTGCCTCAGGAAATTCATTTTTACTGGATTCATATGAGAAAGCTTTCCATTCATGATTTTCTTTTAAATTTCTGCCGCACTTTTTATTGCTTTTCATGTTTCCTATATTTATTCTTTCGTTAATTATTTTTTTGTCATTTTCCTTCTTTTAATTCTTTTATTGAATCCTGCATTTCTTTTTTCTATCTTAACTTTTCATGCTGTCTTTCATATATCGTACACTATCGTTCGGGCGACCGCATAGTCTAGTCTTTATCGGCATGAAATGGAACATGCCGAGTTCAAATCCCGGTTGAATTCAATGCGTTCCTGTTCCAGTTCACACAAACAGCGATGGAAAAAAATCAGGAATCCTCTACTAAATACGGGTTAATAATATTATAAACTCAATATTCTTCGTTGGCAGCATATCTTGGAAACGAAGAACATAAGTTATAATCTAATAGCTTCTCCAGGTCGTAAAAAAATTCTGTGGAAAATAGCAATGCCTAGCCAATTGTGACTGTGGGCGTATCCACCAGAGGGAGTCTGCTATACTGATTTACATGACTGACATACATACAAAATCCTTCCAGTTTTTCTTATCTACTTATTTTCTTCCTTCCATTTTCTTTTTCTTTTTCTTGTACGCTTAGTTTTATTTTTTATTCATTTCTCCATTCTTTTAACATGTCTTTTTGCGCCTTGCCTTCCATTTTTTTGTATTGTCTACGTCTTTTTTTATTGTTTCTATTCCTTGTTTGTCTTTCTTTTGATTAAATTTGTTGATTTTTCTTTTCTTGTGCAAAATGCTTTTTTTTCTCTTCTCTTTTCTTTTCCACGCACTTTTCTTTAATTTTCTATTTTTAAAACATTCTCCAGTTTCTTTTCACAGTATCAGATAGCCATATTTATTTATTTCTCCCTTTCTTTCTTTATTCCTTTATTTCTTTCTTACACACTTTCTTATTTTTCTTTCTTTCTTTCTCATTCTTTCCTGAAACTTTTCTTTCCTTTTCTATTTTTCATACAGCATTCTCTCATTTCCTTTCACAATACTACACATCTTTCTTTCTTTCTTTCTTTCTTTCTTTCTTTCTTTCTTCCTTTCTTTCTTTCTTCCTTTCTTTTCATATTTTCTCTACTTCCTTTCTTATACTATCCGCCTTTCGCTTCATTTTTTTCTTTCTCATTCTTTCCTGAAACTTTTCTTTCCTATTTTATTTTTCATACAGCATTTTCTCATTTCCTTTCGCATCATTACTACACATCAGTCTTTCTTTCTTTCTTTCTTTCTTCCTTTCTTTCTTTCTTTCTTTCTTTCAACCATTCTTTCAACCTTTCTTTCTTTCTTTCTTTCTTTCTTTCAACCATTCTTTCAACCTTTCTTTCTTTCTTTCTTTCTTTCTTTCTTTCAACCATTCTTTCAACCTTTCTTTCTTTCTTTCTTTCTTTCTTTCTTTCTTTCAACCATTCTTTCAAACCTTTCTTTCTTTTCTTTTTTCTTTCTTTCAACCATTCTTTCAACCTTTTTCTTTCTTTTCTTTCTTTCTTTCAACCATTCTTTCATTTCTTTCTTTCTTTCTTTCTTTCAACCATTCTTTTTTTCTTTTCTTTCTTTCTTTCTTTCAACCATTCTTTCAACCTTTCTTTCTTTCTTTCTTTTTTTTCAACCATTCTTTCAACCTTTTCTTTCTTTTCTTTCTTTCTTTCAACCATTCTTTCAACCTTTCTTTCTTTCTTTCTTTCTTTCAACCATTCTTTCAACCTTTCTTTCTTTCTTTCTTTCTTTCAACCATTCTTTCAACCTTTCTTTCTTTCTTTCTTTCTTTCTTTCAACCATTTTTTCAACCTTTCTTTCTTTCTTTCTTTCAACCATTTTTTTTTCTTTCTTTCTTTCTTTCTTTCTTTCTTTCTTTCTTTCTTTCTTTCAACCATTCTTTCAACCTTTCTTTCTTTCTTTCTTTCTTTCAACCATTCTTTCAACCTTTCTTTCTTTCTTTCTTTCTTTCAACCATTCTTTCAACCTTTCTTTCTTTCAACATTTTTTATTTCTTCTTTTTTTCTTTCCTTCCATCTCTTTCATTCTTTATTCCTTTCTGGCAACCTTTCTCCCTCGCAACTATTTTATTTCTTGTAACCTTAATTTTCCTTTCCTTTTTCATTCCTTCTAATTCCCTTTCATTATCTTTCTTTTTTGTTGTTGCTATTTCCGTACTCCACCCATTTCATTTCACTTCAAAGTTCTGCATCATTGTCCTTTCTTTTTCTCCTTATTTCTTTCTTTTTCATTTATTCTTTCTGTTTTATTTGTTTTTTTTTTACTATTTATTTCTTTCACACCTCTGTCTTCAGTGATCAGTGATATTTCTCTCCCTCTATCTATCTATCTATCTATCTATCTATCTATCTATCTATCTATCTATCTATCTATCTATCTATTTAAATTCCGGTTTCTTCTAAAGTTTACTTCACTTCTATACTTCTAAAGTACCCGTCGAATACTGTAATTGTATTTCAAAATCATTTATTCTTCTAAACAGGTATTTATCACCCAGTTCACATTCCTCCTCTTTCTTTCAACAGGATTAGTGGTTTATCCTTTGTTTCTTACTGATGACAGGTTTTCCCCGGTCTTTCTAAAGTCTCAGTATGAGTAGAAATTCTTGCCTATCGTCCGGATCACACTCCTCACATGTCTCCTGAATAGGGGAAGAAATTTATGCCTTGTTTCCTGGTTATGATTGTGTTTCCGGTTCCTTCTAATGACTTGTCTCTCGCTTACATTTCTAATATCACATTACGCCTCAGTGGCATTATCCCCTTGCTTGAGATGAATTGATTAAAAACGCCGTTTGTTCCTATTACTATTCATCCCATTTCTAATATTTTGCTTATCTTTCTGTCTTAACTTAAATCAATCCAGTAATGCCAGGGAACCATTTCCACGGTGTTCAAAATACCTCAAGTTATATCGGGTCGTCAGAATTCTGACCAATACGATAGGACATGCCATTTTGGGATAGTCTAAGCATGCATAGTGTAACACTTACAAATATAGTGCTAAATAGTGCAATTGCTAGTTTATAATATATTTTAAGGTCGTACTCGATATTTAGGTATTGAAACTTCTGGATATCAGGATTATTATTTAATTTGAGCTGATATTAAGATTAGCTTATAATAATGTAGTTAGGACTAAAACTTGCATATATTTATAATTGTGAAGAGTTTTAATTACGTTATTATCAAAATCGAAGATTTGGGATATTATTTGACGAAAAGTTTTAAGAAAAATAAACTTTTTTTAAATATATACGTCTTCAAATCATTATTGTGACAAATATTATTTAGTCGGAAGGGTTAAAATATGGCATATCATGTAACAGATAGCATTATTCTCTTCAGAAGACGTCTAGGTTCGAAACTCTGAGAACATACAAATATATCCCACTTGCCGAATACAAAAGTTACTACATATTCTGCGTAAGTTTTTAATATATTCAAGACAAGTTTGTATTGCCATTCCCATAAGATCAAAGTGACTCATTAGCAAACGTAATACGCTATATTCGTTAGGTATTTGTAAGCCTCTATTGCTTTGATTCGGCCATTGTCCTTTTGGTTCCCCCATCGCATTTCACTCCATTCACTGCAATCGGAATATTATCAGCGCGTATCGTGATACGGATTTGATCTCGACAGGAAATGAGTGCCAAAAACACTCATTAAAAATCCACTAGAGATTTATCAGCGTTGTCCATACCAAACTAGAAACAGCTTTTAATATCTCTCGAATTTGACCCGATTCTTGGCACACTCGGGATTATTAGATATTCCGTCGGGGTTTAGTCAGCCGTCAGTCCTTTGCATCACCATTGGGTTATTATCTTGGTTTTGCACGTATGTAGCCTCATCGGCACTTATGTGTAACCATATTCCTTGAGAGCTAACTCCTTGCACTCAATTCAAAATATATAGAGTTATAACTGTTTTAATCAATTCTATTATTATGTCTTAAAAAAGAGCTCAGTGTAGTGTAGCAGTCATCGATGGGGAAAGTGGGCTTGACAAGACGAGTTCAAATTCTGTCAAATAATATTTCGTTTAACTTTCATCCAAATAGCACGGGGAAAGTTATGAATCGATCTCTTCTTCACCAACAAGTTTTTTTTAAGTAATATCGTCCGAAGACAAATAGAAAAATTCTGAATTCTAACACCGGGGAGAAAGCCATGGTAAACCATTCCATTCTATTTTGTAAGCGCTCATGATAATAATGTAAATGAATCTGTGGACATGCGTAATCAAAACTTATTTGAAGAGATATAGACATTTTACTAATTTAAAAATATACTGCTTAAGCGAGGAAATGCTGGGACACAGCTGCCAATGTAGAACTACGATTAAATTCAATTAAAAGTTGAGATATCAAAAAGGATTAGCCTATCAAAACAATCGCCATAAAAAGATATTTATAGAAATATCACAGAAGAAGCTACGTTACTATAGTGGGGAAGAAATGTAAACCGAGATGGCAGGCTTGAACTGATAATATTGTAGATTCTTCTTTGGATTTTCACAAGAATATCTAAATACAGATCAGAAGCACCAAACCAAATGTTTGCGACAGTATTTAATGCGCGAACGACCGATAGTCATAAATTTACAGGATAGATTCTAGCAAGAAACATTGTCTTGCACGAAACAATGAACTAACTTTACTAGCAGCAAACTTAGCAATTGGATCGATTTAATCTTTTCAGTTGTTATTAGTGAAAAACATTATACCAGAAATATAAGTTACTCTCCTGGATGTTTGTTTCAACCATACTATTGGAAGATAAAATAAGCTTCTCCAAGACGACTCAAACAAATCATTTTCGTTATGGTGGCATTACGATTAACGTGCCATTTCTTGCTCTAGTTAACAGCAGATTGGAAGACATTTTCGATATCATCTTTATCAAACCTATCAGAATAAGTATGAGTTTTTTTTTCTAGTTTTATATCGTCCGCTCTGATAGCATTAGCATGACAATATAGTAGTTCCCTTTGTAGTGTCTAAACTACAATTGACTTCCCGCATTTCCAAAGTAATTCGTCTACCGAATCATGCCTCCTGTTGAAGACCACGTTTTCGGTTCTGTTTTATTTTTAGGTTTTATTCACGGCAGCTGTGTCTATATGTCTGCACATTTATTTTTTTTATCTCTTTGCAACTATATCAAATTTGTTTTTAAACAGCTACTGTCAGCTGCCATTCTTTGGTTTGGTCTCTTGTGTCCTTTTCATTAATTAGATGAATTCTTCTCTCATCTAATATTTTTCTATAGCGTATTGCTTCCGTAAATTATTTCTCTTTATATTAACAACCTTTTCAAAGATTCGATATTATTTATGAACTACTTCAGCGTATATTTGTCCCAAAATTAAGTAAATCTGGAGCCTGTTGCATTGCATTAAAAGTTTCTTAACCTTCCGTATCTTAAACTTAGTAATCATCGATTCTACAAGTGTTACTCTTTCATTTTATTTAGCTTCTAATGCTGATTCTGGGCATATTGTCAGATAATAATCAAATATGAAAATACAACGGATAAATCTTTGACATTAAATATTATCATTATTTGAAATATATATATATATATATATATATATATATATATATATATATATATATCATCAGTTTTTTTAAACCACAGTATCGATTTCAATGTATTGGTTAATAATATATATACTATATCATCAGTTTTTTTAAACCACAGTATCGATTTCAATGTATTGGTTAATAATAATGATAAGTAAATGTTGAGACAATATGAAAAATACTAAACACACTATTCTAGATTGATATGCAAATCGTTTGTTGTGGTTTGTTTTTGTTTTTCATATTGTTTTTATATTATGGGCTACGTAAAGCCAAAATATGTTTTGAATTTTAATAATTTTTTTCCCGAGAGAATTTAGCATTAACAATTATGTATCAGTTATGTGCTATTCGTGATACACGCTTAGGTGATCACGTATTTTTCGATACATGACTGACGAGGCACATATTTTCCCGCAGTAGGTTCCCATTTATTTTTTGCGGTAGACCAGTTGCCAACCAAGGCTATAGAACCAAGATTATTCTGCTATTTAGAAGACAATAAAAAGATTTATACCTTTCCCAAGGGTATTAGCACGTAAGTGAATATAATGGATTTGACTGAAACTCGAACTCGGCTCTCCGATACCTCAATCCGAGCCGCTATCTATTATTATCTAATCATCCTAACAATATATATATATATATATATATATATATATATATATATATATATATATATATAGATAACTAGACTCGTTTCGAAAAACCCTATATATATAGGCTATTCACACTTTTTTGTAGTCTGGAATACAGTTTATTCCCTATAAATATATTGGACCACACAAATGATGCAAACTTCGAGAAGGATTCATGGAGACCAAATAGTAATCTGACTAAACTATAGAAAAAAAAAAAATTTACATTGAAATATAGGAAGAGACGATATGTCCAACAAATTAACCTTATATAATTTAAGACAATCTTTGAAATATCGTAGGGTTCGAGCCTTTATTTATCATTTGTTTCTTACTTGGATGCAAAATTTCGGAACATTTTTCTTCTTGTAAGCTTATTATATTTTTTTCGTTCATATATTCCTCAATAACTTTTCTTTACGCCTTTATATAATTCATTATCATTCCAATCCTATTCTTATATACATTTTACCACTACTCTCTTCTCTCCAACTTTATTACGACTCTATCGTTCTGGTGATATGAACAAACGTATACCTCACCGAGACAGCGCTAATTTTTCTCACAGAACGGATAGCGTCACAAAGAATGATAACTTATGATGTTAAATTTAAATACGGAAGAATAAAATAAATTGTTAAACAAAATAAGGATTGTAGCGGACCGGGGGTTTAAGTGTTGTTAAATTAGGAAAACCTGTGTTTATTCCTGCTAGAAGAAGGTCCAGCAGAAGAACATGGCGGACCACAAAGAAGTGTAAAGAAAACCAGCAAGACCAATATATATATATATATATATATATATATATATATATATATATATATATGTATATATATGTGTGTGTGTGAAAATATATAGAAAATAGGAAAGAACTCGTTAGGTAAATAATCCAATATATATATATATATATATATATATATATATATATATATATATATATATATATATATATATATATAAAGCTTATAGTAAAATAAGAACTAATACGGCAGAAATTTATATAAACAAGGGTCATTTCATTCATAACGGATTCGGAGGTTTTTTTTATATTATTTGAATTGTTTGCGATGATGGATGTCTCGCCATTTAAATCATTAACCTTTGCATTAGTTTCTGTGTGAATAATTCATGTATTAGTAAATTGATTGCACGTTTATCGTAATT